CCAACCGGCTAACTCAAACATATCCAGGTTAGGTTGAACCAGCTTCGTAGTACAGGCCTCAGGTGCGTGGTGCAGCCAGGAAGGTGCAGCTCTTCTGTTATAAACTCCCAGCAGCACACCTTCAGGATGCTGTCTGATGGGCTGGATTCTGTGTCCTGGTACGCCCGGCCGCCCTTGGCCAATTTATGGCCACACGCAAAGCAGTGATGAGGCCCTCTGTGTCGCGAGCTTCGGCGACGGGGGACGAGGGACGGGGGGGTGCTAGTGGCTTACAGTAATTGCGCCGCATTTGCGCTTTGGATGAGGCTCCCTCCGCAAGATGAATCTGATGAGGTCTGAGTCCTGCCTGCCATGCTGCATTAACTGTTTACAGCCAATGGATTGTTCTGCAAGTCAACATAACTGCAGTTAGGAGAGTCCTATATTACCCAAAGGACCATTCATTAGTTTGAATTAAAAGGAGGCAATGAGTCGTTCAGATGTTAATCTTTAGTAAGCGCTCTGCTGCTGAGGATTCCTCTCTTTGGAGCATCTGTTGAACGCCTGAGGAATAAAGAGTGACGATGCTCCTGTTCCTGCAGATAATGAGCTGTGTGTTGAGAGTCACACAATAGCTCTGTTCTGAGAAACCCCTCCTGCGATCATCCTGCCGTGGTTCCCAGAGAGGGCAAAAGTACACACATCCTTTACTCAAGTAGAAGTACAGATACTCGTGTTTAAAAATACTCTGGTGAAAGTAGAAGTACTGACTAAACTTCTTTACTCAAGTCAAAGTAAAGAGGCTTTGAAATGTACTTCAGTAAAAAGTACCCATAACTAGCAGCTGTTTTAAAGAGTACCTGACCTCCCTTTATATTAATAGAACAATAATGTCATTGTTAGCTAATGAATGTTTCCATGGTGACCAACGGCAACATGACAACGTTTTCATTGGTCCCTCTTCTTTAGAGAAGACCAGGAAATGATGGATACACGGATCGTGTTCAAATCAATAGGCACGCAATGACTCTAAATAATAATGATCACGCCACCAAACACACATTCAGACTAAAGGAACCAGCCTGTTTGGAAAATGTGAGAAGTAGAAAGTACAGGTATTTGAGTTCAACATGTAAGAAGTAGAAAGTACAGGTATTTGTGTTCAAAATGTAAGAAGTAGAAAGTACAGGTATTTGTGTTCAAAATGTAAGAAGTAGAAAGTACAGGTATTTGTGTTCAACATGTAAGAAGTAGAAAGTACAGGTATTTGAGTTCAACATGTAAGAAGTAGAAAGTACAGGTATTTGTGTTCAAAATGTAAGAAGTCAAAGTAAAAAGTTGTCAGAAAAAGAAGTATGAGTAAAGTACTGATACCAGAAAAATGTACTTAAGAAGTACAGTAACTAAGTATTTGTACTCCACTACTTCCCACCTCTGAAACTCAATGTCAGGTGGAGTATGAATGGTGCCATTTCAGTGATAATATCAATTATTTGGGTCTACATGTGACTCAAATTACATGCATGTGGATTAAGACCAAGTTCTGACCACACATAAAAAAAAAATCCTCTGAGGATGAAGTTGCTCTGTTCCTGCATTTGAGATCAATTCCACTTGTATATTGACTTTCTTTATTACTTTATTAAATATAACAAAAGACAAACTGTGTCCATGAATCCTTTATCAGTTTCTCTTAAGAATTTCCTCTACAAATTTCACCTGAGCTATAAAAGAACACTTATTTGTAATAACCTAAACGTCTGAGTCTTACCTGAGCGGTTGCGTTCGAGTCCCCTTCCTCCTTTGGTGTTGCACAGGTCACTTTGAGTGCTGTTGCAGGTGGTGTTGAGCTCAGCTTGGCAGTAAATGGGCGACCCCCCCTGCACCGCCTGAGGAATGTGCTTCTTCCTCTTCTTGGGAAGCTTCTGCTTGGCCATGGCCAGCGAGTAGTACATCCCAAAGTTATTCACGATAACAGGAACGGGCATGGCTATCGTCAGAACGCCCGCCAAGGCACACAACGCACCAACAACCATGCCTGACCAGGTCTTTGGATACATGTCTCCATAACCCAGTGTTGTCATGGTCACCACGGCCCACCAAAAGCCAATTGGGATGTTTTTGAACTTTGTGTGGTTGCTACCCGTTGGGTCGTTGGGATCTGCGCCAATTCGCTCGGCGTAGTAGATCATGGTGGCGAAAATAAGTACTCCCAACGCCAGGAAAATGATGAGCAGCAGGAATTCGTTGGTGCTCGCTCGTAAAGTGTGTCCGAGCACTCTTAAACCCACGAAGTGACGCGTTAGCTTGAAGATACGAAGGATTCGAACGAAGCGAACCACTCTGAGGAAACCCAACACATCTTTGGCAGCTTCGGAAGAAAGGCCGCTCAACCCAACCTCTAAGTAGAAAGGCAGGATGGCCACAAAGTCGATGATGTTGAGGACGCTTTTAATAAACTCCAGCTTCACCGGACAGAACGTGACGCGGACGAGGAACTCGATGGTGAACCAGAAGACGCAAACGCCCTCCACATAGGTGAGGGCTGGGTCCGTTTCTATCTCGTACTGCGGGCCTGAGTCCGGAGCGCTGCTGTTCCTCGTTGGATCTGTCTTGTTGATGATGGTGTTAAACGCTTCGTGAGTCTCCAAGCAGAAGGTGGTGATGGAGACCAGGATGAAGAACAACGAGGCAAAGGCTATAAACTACAAGAGGGGAGGAGAAGAGGAGAGAAAAACATTGTGTTACTGTTAGAAAAATCAATCTCAGGATCCATGTATCTGTGATCCTCTCCAGAATGGAAGTAGTCATCACATACAGAGCATCAACTAGTTCCTGAACAGTGTCCTTCACATGCTGATATCCAAGAGAGGGAGTTACACAGTCACAAGATGGAGGAATACCAGGTCTTGTAGGTAATCATACATCCTGTCATTTACAAAATACTGAGTTTTTCTCTAAATTGGAAAATTCTGACTTTTTCTCAACATTTCAAAATTCTTACTTTTTCCTTAATATTCTGACTTTTCCTCAAAATCCTGATTTTTTTCTATAAACTTCTGACTTTTTCTCAAAATTCTGACTTTTTCTCAAAAATCAATTTTTTTTTTTTTACTTAATGAAAATTCTTACTTTTTCCTTAAAATTCTGACTTTTCCTCAAAGTCCTGATTTTTTTCTCAAAATTTTGACTTTTTCTCAAAATCTCAAAATTCTGATTTTTTCTCAAAAATCAATTTTTTTTTTTTTTACTTAATAAAAATTCTTACTTTTTCTTAAAATTCTGACTTTTTCTCAAAATCCTGACTTTTTTTCTCAAAATTCTGACTTTTTCTCAAAATCTCAAAATTCTGACTTTTTCTCCAAATCAATTTTTTTTTTGACTTAATAAAAATTCGGACTTTTTCTCAAAATTCGGACTTTTTCTCAAAATCCTGACTTTTTTTCTCAAAATTATTACTTTTTCTAAATAATTAAAAATGTAAATAATCACTCGTCTCCGGCTTGATCTTCAATCTCAGGATCCATGTATCTGTGATCCTCTCCAGAATGGAAGTAGTCATCACATACAGAGCATCAACTAGTTCCTGAACCGTGTCCTTCACATGCTGATATCCAAGAGAGGGAGTTACACAGTCACAAGATGGAGGAATAGAAAGCAGTATTCAATGTTTACTTCAGATTAGCTCCACGTCAGAAATGAGCATGCTTGTCATATGTCTCTCTCCATAGAGGCTGAATCATCATGTTAATCACATAGCTATCATATGCCTCAAACAGTCCTGATGCTCTTCTAGGTAATCACACATCCTGTCATGTTCACAGCTACAGTTGGGATACCTTTGATATCAAGTTACTCTGATGTTGGAAGAG